TAAGATAAAAGCCAAATCAACTGCAAAAGGCCTGCTTTGAAATAACAGAGACATTAGGGGCCATTGTTCTCCAGATCTCAGGGAGTACTGAGCAGACAGTGTTACAATAAAAAATATTTTCTTTTGTTTATGGGAGCATAGCTGAAGATCTCTGTTTTGCAAAATATAACCTAGGGGGACTATAAGTTGGAACAGAGCTCTGATCATTCTTAATTATCCACAGCTCATGTTATCAAATATCCAGCAAACAAAAATTCAAAATGATCTTTCAGGGTCACAGTTCCCTAGCCCCAAAAGGGGAGAATCCCAACAGATGCCCCATCACAGATGAAGGAAAGACCAAGTCTAGAAAGTGCAAATCCCAACCAACGCTGTGCCCCAGGCAAGGCCAACATAATAGGGAAGGATACTCTGGTGTCGTCACACATGTGATTCCCTGTTACTCACCAAAGATGTCTCAATCGGCCAATCCAAGTACTGACACACATATAAACAACAAACATGGTCCCATAAACAAAAAATCAGACAAGATATAGCCTCAAAACTGCACTTCCACTCCCAGAGGCTTACAGAGTGGCCTGGCTCCTGAAAGAGAATGGACCCAGAGCAGCTCCCAGTGAGCCCAGGATGGTTCACTTCCTGGAAGGGAATGAGCCCAGGTGGAGCAGGTGGAATTTCCCCATCTTATGCAAGCTGGAGTGGTTCACCCCAAAACCATACACACGAAAACACAAACTACAAATAAACTACAATTACAGACAGAAAATCAGAGGAGGTGTAGTCTAAAAATTCCACTTCCCGTCCCAGACGGAGGCCTCCGAACAGACTGACCCAGCTCTCAAAAGAAAAGAGACCCCAGAGTGGCTCACTTCCTGCAAGGGAATGAACCCAGAGTGTAGAGAGTTCCCAGCCTGAGTATGCTGGGGTGACTCACCCTCGAGCGACACAAACGTGGACCGTAACTCCGGACATTTCTCGGCTCCAAACAGCCTTACGCTGGTGTGGCTGGCCCCTCTCAGGGAGGCTGAAGTGAGCTCCGGCAGCTGCTGGGGACCCAGGGAAGGGGCTTCCCCTAGCCCGGGTAGACCTGCCACGGGCGCAGATTCCTAGACTGACTTAGCCAAAGTTGTTACCAAACACAAGTTCATGTGCTTCCTGCACAGTGGGGTCAAAAAGCACTGAAATGTGAGAGTTCGGAGCAGAGAAAGGTTTACTGCTGGGCTGGGCAAGGGGAGTGAGTAACCCAGGCCTAAAAACACGCCAAGCTTCCTAAGGGGTTTCAGCTGAGCATTTTTAAAGGCTCCCTGAGGTAGGGGCGGCCCAGGGTATGAGATCAGCTGTGCACAATTCTTTGGTTGATGGTGATCAATCCATCAGAAGGTCTGGGGCTACGTGCTCATGATCATCAAGCAGTTCATTTCTTCCATTTGGTGGTGGTTTTTAGTAACTGAAAAACTTAGGAAATATGCATGAGATACTATTATTGGGGTACTTCAGAGAGGAGCTACAGGAAAGGGTATGGGGGAGGGGACTGTCTCAGGTCCTGCTTAGTTACAAAGATGCCATTTTGTATTTTACTGTAATTCAAATAGCACTTTTTATTAAAAATAAATAAACATAAATGGAAAAGGGGCAATCATTGAGTGTAAGATGTGACTCAAACACAGAATATAATAAAGCTCCTTCAAATTATGTGGTTTTAAGACTCATAGACGTAGAATACAAACTTGTGGTTGCCAAGGGGGTGAGGGGTGGGAAGGAACAGACTGGGCGTTCGGAATTTGTAGATATTGACAGGCATATGTAGAACAGATGAATAAGATCATACTGTATAGCACAGGGAAATATATACAAGATCTTGTGGTAGCTCACAG